TCAGCTGTAAAAGCCCCATAGCCAGTTTTTACTCATCTTCATATTTATTTTATCTGCACATTAATTATTGTGGAAAATAAAGTGCAGAGTTTTATATTGAAATACATCAAGAAAATATACTAGAAAGGTTTCTAATGCTAGACAACTCCAAACAATAGAATAAACCTACGCAACTTTTAAAGTACATATTTTTGCTATAAGAGTTGACTAAGAAGAGATTTTTTTGGTTGACTAATGATTTTTCTGTACAGAACTGTTTTCAAGAGAATGTGTTTTTTATGCCTATGATGGGTTCGTGTTTGCCTGATGTAAACTTGTTTGACCAAGTTGCCATTTTCCCACCTTTTGGGGTTTGAGATACCTTGTGTTTTTCATACCAGGGAACTACAACATGCCTATCTTAGGAGGGGAAAGGTGGGAAGAGGCGCGCGTCCCTTGAAAGGATGAAACATTTGTCATGACCACACTTCTTTCGGGGACCGTCTGAGCAGCCTGACAAACTTCTAGAGCCACAAACACTTGGAAACACTCAGTCTTGTAGCTTCAGAAGTAAAATCTAAACCGTTTGGGATAGGATTTCTTTTAAAGTCTAGAGTTTTGCCTCTTTATAAAATTATGAGTAACAATAATTCTTTAATTTGCTGTTAACTACCTTGGAGTCTATTGAAGTTGTTTTCATAAGTATTAAAAGCTTTCCACTAAAACTAGATCTTTGCTTCTATGTAATAACTCTAATCAGTTAATGAGAGATTGTGGTCTTCATATGAACACATTTCATTTAACTCTTAAGAGGCGTATTACTAGGAAATTGCATCTGATGCTGTGGATTTAAAATAAGATTCATAGTGGGTTCATATGTTTCCTTAGAAGTGTGGGTTTCATAGAGATTCTGAATTCACCAAATTAGTTCTGATGCTCAGAAGCAATCCTAGGTGCGGGAAACACAAATGATCTCTCCTGTGTTATACATATTAAACAGGAAGAGAATGGGCATTAAGTGGACATTCTGGTTTGTTGGTTTTTCTTTTCTTTCAAGGCTCGCTCTTTCCTAGTTCTTGATAGCAGCAGGGTGCAAGCATGCTCTTTTTCTCCTCTTGATCAAAGCTTTTGTCAGCAGCATATCTTTGGGTTCAGAAATGTAATGGTACAGGCACCTGGAAACCTAAAACTTTAATCTCTGCAGAGTTTTAGATTTTTAACACTCAGGCAATCAAGCCTGGGTTTCTAAACTTAGGAACTAGAAGCTGAAAGTTGCACTCTAGGCAAGAATTCCATTATTCATGTGTAAATTAGGAATTCACAGGGTTAAAAGGTTAGAAACTGGCCAGGATGAGGTTTACCCTTGTGATAAAGAGCAGATGACCCTCATTCATTGACCGAAGCTTTCATGTAGCTCTTCTGCAAAGTTAGTTATTGCCATGAATTGTTCTCCAGGAATGCAGAAATTCAAATGTGAACCTTAAGTGTCACCATGGATCCTTATCTCCCAAGCACATCAGAGCAGGGCTGCTGGGACGGGGTTCCTCCCCAAAGGCCCAAGGCTCTGCTTTCCTGTTGTTCTTCCAAGCACAAAAGAATTCAACTAACTTAGTTTTTCTAAGGCATCCCACTTTAAAGGGAAGTATAGGGTTAAAGTAATATAGTCTTAAAAAAAAATGAAGGTAGCCCTTTTTTCAGGACAGTGACTTTATCATTTCATGTAAGTAGCGGAGAAAGAGGAATGATGTGGGAGGCCCTTATCTAGTGGCCTGTAATAGACCAGAAAGAAAGACAGCAAACCACGGCAGATAAATTTCAGCACTTTTAACTTTTCACTTTCTTTGGTGGTAAGTCTTCATTATATACCTAATGAAAAGTCTGAGGAGTAAGATGTAATCTATGGCCATCTTGACTCTCCTTGGGTTCTGAATGTTGAAATAAGTAAGTTGAATTTTATAGGAAAGCATTAGTGTGGTTAAAACACGCGTCTCCTATTTCAACAATTTGAAATTAAGATAAGAGGCATTTGAGAGAAGTAAAGGAGGTGGGCTGTGTTCTGTGATGTGTAAAAGGCTGGATGTAAGCTAGTCAGTGAACAGGAAGCTAGCTGTTTATTTCCTTTCCATCAAAGGTGGAACTTGGCGTGTTAGACCAGAGAGAGAGAGAGAACATAAAGCTGAATTCTATTTCTTAGGCTTTTCAGGATTATTTTCTTGGGTGAAAAATAATTTTGTAAATGATGGGTTTGGGCTGGAAAAGCCATGGGAATTCCTGTAACAGTATGATGGATCTTTAAAAAAGTTTGTTAGTTTTGGCATCAGTAAAGTTGTTTAGGGGTACATGCTTACAATGTAAAGTAGCAATAATCATTTCCATTAAAAGTTCATGGGTTCTTTTTTTTAAAGGTTATATTTGTATTTATTCGTGAATGATAAGAACTATGTTGGTTGCAAGTATATGACCAAATATGGTTAGATTAGCTCTACTGCATTTCAAAGGGCATTGTATGAAACGCATAGTTCAACAGTTTAAGACTATTCACATTAGAAAGAACATTTTTGTTCTAATATTTGTTTAATGTAATAGTTACAGAAATAATAAGTTAATTTACGTTATATATATTAATCTTTTAAACTTCTGGATAATCATAATGAAAAGAATTAAATCTTCATTTGCACTATTTTTCCCTTATTTTTTGTAATGTAATTACATCTTGGCAGATTCCCAGCTATGAAAATGCTATTAGAGACAAAGTTGTTGCAAAGATAAATGCAGGAGCAAACCTTAAGAGATTATTTCCACAATTCTTAATATATATTCGTGTTTTTATTTTGCCTCAGAATCTATACTTTTAATATTTTTTTGTTTTATGATTTTTTGGTAATCATTTTATTGGGGGCTTGTACAACTCTTAGCACAATCCATACATACATCCATTAGGTCAAGCACATTTGTTGCCATCATCCTCAAAACATTTTCTTTCTACTTGAGCCTTTGGTATCAGCTCCTCATTTTTTTCCCTTCCCTCCCCCACCCTTCCACCCTCATGAACCCTTGATAATTTATAAATTATTATTATTTTTTCATGTCTTACACTGATCAATGTCTCCCTTCGCCCACTTTTCTGTTGTCCATCCCCCAAGGGCAGGGGTCATATGTAGATCATTGTGATCAGTTCCTCCTTCCACCCCCCATTGTTCCCTTCCCCTCCTGGTATCACCACTCTCATTATTGGTCCTGAGAATCCAGGTCCTGTCCTGGATTCCCTGTGTTTCAAGCTCTGATCTGTACCAGTGTGCATCTTCTGGTTTAGCTGGATTTGTAAGGTAAAATTGGGATCATGATAGTGGGGGCAAGGAAACGTTAAAGAACTAGAGGTAAGATGTATGATTCATCGGTGCTATACTGCACTCTGGCTGCCTTGTCTCCTCCCCATGACCCTTCAGTAAGGGGATGTCCAGTTGCCTACAGATGGGCTTTGGGTCTCCACTCTGCACTACCCCTCAGTCACAATGATATGATTTTTTGTTCTTTGATGCCTGATCCCTGATCCCTTCGACACCTCACCTCATGATCACACAGACTGATGTACTTCTTTCATGTGGGCTTTGTTGCTTCTCAACTAGATGGCCGCTTGTTTACCTTCAAGCCTTTAAGATCCTAGATGCTAGTTATATCTTTTGATAGCAGGACATCATCAGATTTCTTCACCACATTTGCTTATGCACCTGCTTTGTCTTCAGCGATTGTGTTGGGAAGGTGAGCATCATGGAATGCCAGTGTAATAGAACAAAGTTTCTTGCATTGAAAGAGTACTTGTCCAAGGACATAGGTTCTTTTCCATGAGTAAAGTGTATATCAATTTAGTATACATCGAGATGAAATTTGAGTGTTTTCTGTGTGTGTGTGTGTGTGTGTGTGTGTGTGTATGTGTATGGGGGGTATAATGAAAAACTTTTGTGAGTGGCTTCTGTCTGTCTTAAAGATTAATGCATAC